TCTATTTTCTTCAATAAAATGCTTCCACAATGAAAGAATCAAAATAGAACTTGTGTATCTTTTTATGATTATTTTATTTACTTAGCTGTTTTTTTTTTCTTTTTTTGTAAAAATAATAAAATTTATATGATAAGTTAATTTTTATTTATTATTTTTCTATCTCAATAGTTATTATATTATTTATTGTAAAAGTATATTGTTTTTCACAAAATATCACATTTAAAATACTATAAATTTAGATTCAATTTTTACATAATATCCGAAGTATTTATTTGTATTTAATATTTATTTTTATTTTGAGTATAATATTTTTACAAAACATATAAAACAATAAAAAATAAAAAAAAGTATAAATTAAATTTTATTATAGTTTTCATTTATATTTCAGAAGAAAATTTTAAATAAATAACAAAAGAGAAATATGTATATAGGAAAATTTAATTAACTTTTCATAAAATATTATAGCACATTACTGTATTATAAAATTGGATTTAAGTTGTTTGTATAATATTTTTATCATAAAATTGTATTTAAACAATATTTGAATATTATATCTTAAGAACAATAGTAATATATATACGATAATATAATATAATGAAAATAAGAATAGAAAAATTACTGAATAAAATTTAATATATGATATTTTGTTTTAAAAAATAAATAAATAAATAATAGAACTATAGTTAAAAAAATATATATAAGTTGTATTAATATTTTTTCTCATCAAATATTTCATTTGTGGAAATAGAGAAACATGGGAAAGTAAAAATAAAGGATTTGATGCCATTTTTGAGTTGTATGCCAGAAGATTTTGTATTTAATGTAAACAAATGTTTTTTATATTATCTCTTATAATTTACACGGAAAAGATTAATGAAAATTTTTGGCTTAGCTATTCGAACATAGATTAGTTTACTTGAGGTAAGTCACTAAATTATCGTCTTTGCTGTGTTGTTTATTATTTTTTATTTTTTATATATTGATTACCAAAATACTGTTGTACATAAGTGCCCCAAATAATATATTTTCATACAAGAAACAACACTAAAACCCCTTTTGCTATTTTTTTTTGGCTATCTTAGAATACAAATTTGACACTGTGTGATGCTCTAGCCGAGGAAGCAAGTTTGTAAAGGTCAAATATGTTGAGCATTCAATGTCTTGAGAGAAATGACTTTGTCTTATATAGAAGAAACGCATGACACGACTGTAGAGTGTAATATTCGTCCTGCATAACATTTATTGCCTTGTACATACTGCTATAAAGTTGCAATAGTCAACTTTCTCCTCTTGTGGAGTGTGTATGTGTTTTTGTTTGTGCGTATGTATCTTTTCATGAATGAGTGACCAAAACTTCGAGTGTGTCATCCTCTTCACCTGTTAAAGTGTTGAGAGACTCATCCATGGAGTTTTGTAGGGTTGGGAAGAAGGATTCTTGGAGACAAAGCTGAAGAAGATAACCATCTCGTATGCAATCTTATTCTTACTTTGGCCGCTGGACTGTTAGAGTTGTTACGGCGTACTAACAGTTAATCGACAATAGTTTGCAAAAACTATATGGAGTTTTGGTAGAACATCAGTTGGATAGATTTGTATGGTGTGTTATATGATATAAATCAAATGTTTGATTTAGTTAAGACTCCTAAATTGAAATCCCTCAGACGTAGATTAAAAGACCGAATTGGATAAACAAATTTTGTGTGTTTTTTTTCTTTTTAAATTTATTCAGCCATAGATATATGTATAAACACATACTGCCGTTATAACTGCGAGACAACTATATTGTAAAGTTGTTTTTACGTCGAACATTTCAGAGTTCCGCTGTATAAGTTATTCGGAGGCATTAAACATCTTATTCGATCGACACCTCGATTTTCAACAATATATCTATGTAAGAGCAATTCCAACCTTCTCTATTTTTGAAGCAATTTCTACTTCAACTGTTGCTATTTCTTCCTCCATTTTTGGAGGAATGCATGGAGAAACACTGTACATTCCTCCAAAAATGGAGAAATACTTTTGTTTTTAATTATATTTTTGTCCTTCAATTTTTTTGTTGTTATATTTTTGGTTTTTAATTTATTTTTCATATTTTATATTATTTTATAAATTATAAACATTCATATTAAAAATAATTTATTATTATTATTTTAAAAATTATCCATATTTTATAATTTAAATTTATGAAAAAGTATTTTGAGATTAATATGTAAATAAATAAAGTTGTATAAAAATTATGTAATTGTTTCAAATAAAATATATATGAAATATATTTTTTTAGAGGAAAAAATAGAATTGATTGGAGTGAAGTTAAATTTTTTTAAAAAAAATTGGAGAATTTTTTTTGAAAAAATAGAATATTCGGTTGAAAATGCTCCCACGAAAGAACAAAATAGAATTGAATTAATGATAAAGAAAATATGTATATATATAAAATGTATTTTGGGACAACAAATGGATGTGCATGAAAAGCAAATTCAAAAATCCTTCACATTATTTATTAATTAATAGAAATAAGAGAAGAGTCAAATAAGAGACCAGCTATAGTGATATTAAATTTTTCTCTTTCACTCTCACTCACTAAAAAAAAAAAATACTTCCTTCCATCTCTTAACAATGTATTTATTTTCCATTTTAGTCTGTTTCATAATAAAGTATTCATTTCATTTTTTAGTAATTGTATTATCCACCTACACTACAAGAAAAAAATTATTTTTGTAACAAAACTTTTTGTTTTTAAATCTACTTTTTCCATTACTAAGGACATTAGGGACGAAATTAGGAATAAAATTACGTTAGCTACGTGAACTTTAGAGACGAAATTCCGTTACAAATATATTATTTTTTTGTAGTGCTAACATTATAAATAGCCTTCCAATTTACAATATATTACACAAATGTCATTATCTTTATATCATACAATACTAATAGGGTTAATTTAGTCTTTTTACTTTATTTTTACTTTATCCTAATATAATACTAATATTTGTAAAACTCTGTGCAAAAAACAAATTGATATATAGATATGAGACGGATGGAGTATCATTTTTGTAACGAAATATTTTTGTCTTTAAATCTTTATTTTTCGTTACTAATAAAATTAAAGACGAATTTATGGATGAAAACACGTTAACTATGTGAACTTTTAAATATAAAATTTCGTTACAAAACTCTCACTCTCACTCTCTCTTTCGTATTTGTATATATCTCAAGATACAAAAAAGAATTCATCATGATTATTATGCCAATGCAACCAATGTTTTTTTTGTTATTTAGTCCAAAAGACCATTGTGCTTTGCAGCAATTCCAATGCTTTCTTTCTTCTCTCCACTCATTGTGTGTTTGCCTTGCTTTCACTTTTTATTCTTAACTATAATCAATTGATGTCAAAATGTAGTAAATTATGAGTGATGTAAATAAACATAAACTCCCTCCGTGTCCCGTATAATATGGGTGAATTACTATAGACATGAAAATTTAGGTAAAATATAATTAGTAAATAATTAAAAAATATATTAGTAAAAATAATTATTATTTAGTAAAAATACTTATAAATTAAGATTAAGATAAGTAAATAGTTTAATTAAAATTGAGAAAATTATAAAATTTAAAATTTAAAATGCGATTAAAGTGCATAATTATATTTCTAAAAATAGAAATGACAAGTTATATGGAACAGACAAAAATAAAAAATAGGAACAAATTATGTGAGACGGAGGGAGTATATAAATAATATTGGGACAGGCAGCATGGGCTGGTCTCTCTTCTTTTATTTCTTTCCACATATCCCTTCCCCCTTTTTATTTTGTTCTTATAATTATTAGTTTCTTCCTAAGATCCACCTTTTAGATTATTATTTTATTTTATATATATTTTTTTCTACTACACCCCTTTTCTTTTTAGTAACAATGTGTTTAACTTTTGTGGGAAGGAGACCCCTTAGCTTTTTTATCCTCCATGTGCTTCCATAAACTTTTCCTGGTAGTGGACCATTCATATGACAGACAAAACCTTCTAAAACAATTTAATCATTATAAAGAAAATCAATTCCTTCAACTAATTGATTCCCTTATGGAATTATTCCTTTTCACTTCTCTCTCTTTGCATGCTTTTCATGGGAACTGTTATTTATTTTTATGTAACCCATGAATTTTGTATACCCGTATACGTTTCAACTTCCTTATAAATGAATTATATTGATTAAAAAAAGAAAAAGAAAAAGAAAACTTTAATATTTGAAAGAATTGCCATTGAAAAACGTTAATACAATAATAATAATAATAATAATAATAATAATAATAATAATGATAATAATATATCACATTGTGACATGAACAGAACATTATTGATTCAAGACTCAATATAACTTAACATATTCTTTTACACTGAGGATGATTAGAGTAAACAAAATTCTAACATAATGAGTATCCAATTGTCACTTCATAGTTTTTCTTCGTTCAGCTTTGAAAATTTTTGAGTTTTTCTTAGATTTCCAGGGGATTCAGACATTTTGTTCCAGCTTTTCTATAAGAGAATTAATTAGATCTTTAATCGTTAGTTTCACATTTTGATATTCATTTACGGGGGCGGATCTATGTTCTGTTTAGTGGTGGCACGTGCTACCAGTAATTTTATTTTGATAAAGAAAATTTTATAGTATGATTTATTAATTGTGCTAGCAGTAAAATATCGCAGTGCCCCAGTAAAAATTAAAAATACGTTTGTTATCTAAAATTTAAAATAAATTATTTAAAATTTAAAATACCACAAGTATCAGAATAATTCAAATTCAATTTGATTAGTTATAAAGAAATATAAAGATTATTATTATTATTATATTATTATTATTATAGTATTTTATATTATCAATATTTTTGTTTATTAATATCAGTATTGTTATTTTATATTATTAGAAAAATATAAAAATTAAAAATATATAATTAATTTAATTATATATATTATTTATATAAAAATTGAGTCCTAATCAAACAATCCAAACTCATTCATATTCACAAGAATCACAACCCTGCTCCTTCCCCTCCATATGCTGCGGCTATTGCATCTTATTTCTTCTTTAGTTCAACACAAGTATATTTGAAGATATGTCTGTGGTTAGATAAGATTATTGATTTATTATACGTTTTTTTCATAATAGGATGAGTGATGATTTTTTATATGATTCGATGATTTGTGCTAGCTATAGAGAATGAAACACTTGTTAATGTTCCGAATGAAGCCGTAGTTAATCACTTGAAAAGCACGAAAGAGCGCCGAGAACCATTGTAGAAGGTAAATTGTTCGCATGTCTTTTTTTTTTTTTTTAATACAATCAATTTCTTTTTTATTTTATTTTAAAATTTATATATTGTGCCACCAGTGAATAATTTTTCTAAATCCGTCTGTGTTTACTTAATGTTGTTTTCTCTGTTAACTTTGCATTCTTCATACAACTGCAATATCTGAAAATAGATGCATATATATCTAGAACAGAATACTAATATATATGGATGAGTACAAATCGTTACATGAATTTTCGTATCTACCGTTACTTTTTGTAGGTACAACTAGATGTTGTTTTGTCTGGCATAGTGGCATGGGTAATATTGTGGAAAGATATGTCTGAAGTTATCAATTCCTTCCAAAATGATAAGAAATTTTTTTAAGTTTGTTGGGCACGTATGCAAAACAAAGTTTTTTTCATATGGGTGATTCTCGAGTTATATTATCGTATCGAGAGGATGTGACGAGAATGGACGATTTAGAATTGAGTGTAATTTGCAATAAGAAAATGTAACTCGAGAATCACCGATTGTGTCACATCTCTTTTTAGAATTTTGATTTGGTTGTCTCCAAATGAGAACGAGAGATAATCGGAATTGGTTTCACCTATGACCGATTTTATGTTGAAAGAAAGAATACTCAATGGTATGACATATTTTCTACTTATGGGAAGATTATAGTCATGCGTGAAAAAAAAAAAGAATGCGAATTACCAATTTTCTGCAAATGGCTGAACCGATGGTTCAATTATTATTTTTATTTTATTTTAAATTAGGCTGTTACCACGACATCACGGCATAGACACAGTAGTGCTTCGTAGGTGAAAAAGAAGGAGGAGGAGGAGAAAAAAATAAGGAGGAGGAGGACCGAGCATGGTCGATAGAAAATAAAGGAAAGAATTGAGAAGAAGAATAACAAGAAAAAAAAAAATGAGAACCTTGTGAGGCTGTGGCGGATGTGGATGTGTAATTGTGTAAATGAATTGATCATATTAAAATTGTGTATTTTATAATTATAATAGTAATAATAATAATAATAATAATAATAATAATAATAATAATAATAATAATAATAAACTTATTTTTTTATATATATTATCAATTTTTCTTGAAAATAAAAACAAAAATACTATTAATAAAACTAAATAATTATTAATGATATTGAAAAATAATAATACTATAATACTATTTTTTATTTATGTTTTCAATTTTATAATTTTTTATTCTATGGTATTTAATTTAAACTATCTTATTATCTAATATATCAATATATCAATAATTTATTTTTATTAATTTTGAATTTAAAATTTAATTTAACTACTTACTAAATTTATTAATTTAAGTATTCTTATATTGGCACAATTTAATTAGTTACTTATTTTTATATAATAAATAAATAACATATATTTCTAAATAAAATTGAAATTGAGATTGAAATTAATTATTTTTAAATAAAATTCAAATTTAAAAAACTAGAAAATAAAAAAATATATTAGAAATGAATATATATAAACTGTGATTCAACTCGTTACAGTGGATTATAAACCGTAATAAAAACCGTCATTTGAAATATTCGATTTCTGTTTGATATATTGACAAACTTGGGTGTGAATGCAAAGAATGTAACTTGAGAATCACCAATAGGAATTGGTTTCATCTAACACGGATGACCGATTGTATGTTGAAAAAAAGAATGTTCAATGGATGACCAATTGATTGCTTATGGAAAGATAGTAGCCATCCGTGAAGGAAAGAACGCGGATGACCGATTGTCTCGATATTGTTGAAGGAGTAGTTCAACCATTTTTTTTTTTGTTTTAATTCTAGCAGTCACCACGACACCATCGGCGCAGGCGCAGTACATCAGGGTAGGTGAAGATGAAGAAGAAAGAGGAGGCGAAAAAATACCGAAGGAGGAGGACCAAGGATCGCCAATGAGAAAGAAAGAAATCTCTAATTACTTGTTTGTATTGGTTATTTTAGCCTTAGCGCCATAATGTAGGATTCGTTGGTTGATGAATGAGCATTCCGGTGTGGCATGACGGTGACACTTCGGTTTGAGCTGACCGGGGTGTTACAGTTGGTATAAGAGCCAGGTTAAAGGCTCATGTTCTTGGTTAATAAAACTTGAAGATTTCGGAATTTCTAAAATCAATTAGATCATGGGTTTAGTCGGGTTTGGATGCATTCATGGCATACATTGATTTTTTTATGTTTATCTCATATGCTTATGTGCATTGGTTATGCTATTTGATTAGTTAGAGCTTATTAGTTCTAGTCTTGATTAGCATGTGCCCCCTAGGCGTGCTCTTTAGCCTCCTATGGCATCTGAGTCCGATGAAGAGGTTGAAAGTAGGCAATTCCAAAACGTTGAGCCTCTAGTTCAAAATCCCGTTTGACCTTCAAACCCGAAATTGGAGATCTTTTGTCAGTTTATGAGACAATTCGCTCAGCAACCCCGGAGTGTTATGAATGCATCTTATGTCATAGTCCTCCGACTTTCACTGGTCAATCGGACCCGACTATTTTGGGCGAATGGTTGGATCATTTTGAGACGATATTTGAGGTGGTGAGATGTCCAGAAGGAGAGAAGACTATGATAGCCGCGTATTACTTGGATGAATTGGCCAAGAAGTGGTGGAATTATGAGAAGGCTTCCGGGAGCAACTTGGTTGGATTACCTTGGGAGGCCTTTAAAGGGATGATAAGGGCGCGCTTTTATCCCCCACACATTCAGAGAGCAAAGGAGGATGATTTTAGTGTCTTGGTGCAAGGTATTATGATGGTGGGGGAGTACTTCACGCAATTTACTGAGTTGGCTGTCTATGCTCCAGATTTGGCGGCGAATGATCGATGCAGGTTGACAAGATTTGTTGGCGGGCTGAATTGAGACCTTCAGTAGTTCTTGGCCGGCTTCAGTGTGACGATCCTTTAAGAGGCATACGAGAAGGTGGCTAACATCTATCAGGCGTATCAAATATTATATGATGAGCGGAGGGATGGAATCCAAAAAGGAAGGTATAGGAAGGGTTAAAGAAACATCAGCGGGATGATCGATCATAGAGGTTCCCAGGTGCGCCTTATGCATCACGCCCCAAATTCACTCCTGAGAATTCGAGTGGCAATCATGGCGATCCGACTATTTGTAGCCGATGCAGGAAGTTTCATTCGGGAGTTCGTTGTGATGCCTAGTCCGTCAGTTGTTATTACTGCCATGAGCCGGGCCATGCCATGTCAAGAGGTTTTCTCCCAAGCTAGTTGGAGTTCCGAATTCGATTGAGAGGGCTCCGGTTCCGCAGCAGCAATAGTCGTGTTGACACTCTTTCTACAAATATTTTGTAGGTGATGGTGCTTCCGTTATACCTAAATGATGCATTTACGTCATATGATCCATCGGGGGAATAAGAACTACTTTATCTTCTAGAATACTTTTGAAACCTATTATTAATGTTTAAGAACTAATGCCTTATGAACTAATTTCTGACTTTTGCTTTTGACTTGAACTTTATTTATCTAAATGATAAGCCGCTGCTCTTTAATTTTAAATCTCTAATTATTTGTTTGTATTGGTTATTTTAGCCTTAGCGCCACAACGTAGGGCTCGTTGGTTGATCAATGAGCCTTCCGATATGGCGTGACGGTGGTACTCCGGTTTGAGCCGACCGAGGTGTTACATTCAATCCATTTAACTACTATTCAACATCGAATGACCTAATACCGGCTCATCCATAGGAGTTGGCCAAGCACCGTCCCAACTCCGAGAGTACCACATCCTCCCCCACTTTAGAATGTAATGTCCACGTTGCACCCTAATGATCATTAACTGCTAAGCCCATCACCAGTCCGGTGAACAACTACAGGCTGTCGCATGTCGACTATGATACAAACTACGACACTTCGACCTGCAAGCCATGCAAAGCCGAACGTGTCATTCCACTTGTGCAGTGATTCGGGAATCATGGAATCCTATACCGCATGTAATTTTGGTGTTGTCTATTTTTTAGATGACGAGCCACTGAAAATTGCAGGTAAGAGGATGGATCGAATCAGAACACTGAATGGAGGAGAATGGAGACTGAATGACGTGGGGCATGTATTGGTTTGAAACGGAAACTAATTTCCGTGAGATAATCGGATGAGGCACATTACTCGAAAGTTTTTAAAACAAAGCCGTGGAAGGTAACCAAGGGATCTATTGTGGTGGCTCAAGGGAGAACATATAGAACTCTCTACATTATGAAAATCATGCGAAACGAAATCGGTTCTGTGGCCATAAATAATGACACAAATTTATGGCATTCTCGTCTCGAGCATAGGAGCGAAAAGGAGATAAAGAAGCTCGTCGAAAAAGGAAGATTGGCAGATATCAAGTCCGTCGACATTGAAGTATGCGAGGACTGTATCTTTGTAAAGTAACAAAAGGTGGCACTTTTAAAGGGTGGGAGAGACTTGGAAAAAAAAACTTGGAGTTGGTCCATACGGACTTGTGGAGACCAGCTCCTGTATCAACCCTTGGAGGCTTAAAGTACTACACCGCATTCATTGACGACGTTACAAGAAAGGTACATGTATATTTCTTCAAGCGTACATATGACATTTTTAATATCTTTAAAAGGTGGAAAACACGTGCAGTGGGAATAGTGAGCCGATTTATTAGCAATCATGGAAGACAATGTAAGATGGTGACCTTAGATGAATTGAGTTTGTGTTCAACCTCAATTGGCCTCGATGAGTAAAGAAGGAGGCTTGACGCTGTTATTGCTGATGAAGTAAAATGTGAAGGTAAGAGATTTAATCAGTCTTCAAATGGAAGATTATTGGAATATAAAGTCTGTTTATATCTTAAAATCTAGGGATATGATTTGGATATTATATCCAAGATTTATAGATATGATTGACATGGTCTTAGGGTTTGCTAGACTATAAAATATCCATTTATTATCACTTTAACAAGTGTTAAGCGTATTCTATACTAAAATTTGAAGTTTGGAAGTGCTCCTAAATGTAGATCATTCTGATCAAATTAAATAACCAAATTTTTGTGTTCTTGTATCCTTGTTTGTTCTTCTCGATTTTCTAAAATTTTCAACAAATATAAAATTTAATATAGGAAATAACTTATATAGCATGTACTACATAAAAAGAAAGTATATAAGTTAATTATGTATATATTGTCAATAGTATAATGTAATATGTGCAAAGATTTAAATCCATAATTATTGAGATTTTATTCATTATGCTAATATTTTTAATTAATGTCACGGTTCTCTGTTAACTAAATTATATCAATTATTTAATTTAAAATTGTTACAAACTTTTTTTAAATCTATATTTACAATTTTAATCTGGTTTATTGATATTTATTAGATCGATTTTTAATTAATATGGTACAACCATAAATAAATCAACAATATCTTTAATTTTTTATAACATCAAGACCCAAAGAGCCACAATTTTCTCATTGAATTTTAAATATAATGTTAGGAATATGAAATATTTATTATTAACATATTAAATATATTTACAATTAATAACCACTGAAGTAATGCACATAAGCATATGTATGTGTGCTACGTGCATATAAAAATTAAAATATTATTGATTTTCAACACAGTAATAATAGATACACAATACAAGATACTATATAAATTGATAACACATACTTATATATAGAACTATATTATGTTGTTTGCTATGGTTAGAATGTTGTATGTTTGCCCAGTGGTGGATTCGGCCGATTTTTTAAATGGGTGCACAATTATATATTAATAAATTATTATTACAGTATAAAAAAGATAAATTACTATTATTAATTTATACATTTTTATACGAGGAAAATATTTAATCATATTATCGTTTTTAATAGAGTGAAATAAGAACAAAGCATATTAGAGTTTTGATACGGAACAAAATTAATATAATTATATAATTAATCAAGTCTTTGTTACGAAAAATATAAATCAAAATAAGAGTATCCTTCAAATAACTATAATATAAATTTTTATATAGAATTTAATATTTGTATATTTGAATATAATGAAAATTAAATTAATAATTAGTATATATATATAAAAATTCAAGTGGGGTCCTATGGCCCCACCTTGATAATGGTAGATCAATAAGATGCTCATTTAATCCAATCAACATAATTTTGTAATGAATTTTTTTCGTTTCTAAATTTACTTTTTTTCCTTACTAATGATATTAGAGACGGAATTAGAGATGGAATCACATTAGCTACGTGAACTTTAGGAACGGAATTCCGTTACACATATACTATATATATATATTTTTTTTTTATAGTGCGACCACTTGTCCATCCTCCTCTAATTGGTAGAAGCTTGTGTGATGGTCACTTTTAAACACATCACACACACAAACACATGTATAGAGTGAGAGTGAGAGTGAGAGTGAGAGTAAGAGAGAGGGACAAACAAACCCTAATGATGATACCATGTAACAGCCAGTTTAACAATTACGTTATTAATATAATTAATACTCCATTCGTCCAGGTAGAAAGTATACATATTTTTCTTTTGGGATGTCCAATTATAAAGTAAATATTTCATTAAATATTTTATTTTTTTCCACAAATACCTTTACTTTACATCACATCAGTATTTTTACACAAAAAAGTAAGGGAAAAAAATGTCATTACACTATTTTTAACTATCCAGTATAATTAAAATACTATTATTTCTTAAACACCGCGCCGAAAATAAATGTGTACATTATAAGTGGACGGAGGAGAGAGTATAATGTAATATAATTGACCAAGTCATTATCTTTGGAATATGCTAATTTACTGCTTAATTGCAGGTACTGCACTACAAAAAAAAAATATTATATTTGTAACGGAATTTCGTGCCTAAAGTTCACGTAGGTAACGTAATTTTATCTTTAATTCAGTCTCTAATATAATTAGTAACGAAAAAAGTAAATTTAAAAACGAAAAATTATCGTTACAAAATTGATATATATATATATATTTTTTTACGGTGATACGGTAATATAGCAATGAACTAACTAAACAATTGAACTTGTTCTTATGCTATAACATAATATAACAACAAAAATATTAATTTAATAGT